AAAGAGCCCGTTATTGACAGAAATACCTGTTATGATTCCATTCCAGTTGTACTGGACTAATTTCACTATGTGAATCTGTTCCTGTCTATTTTTCTATGTACATGAGGTATAGATAGGATAAAAATTTTCAAACACAATTTATAATCCATGGAGAAAAAGCTCTTTCAAATCCTCCAAAACTACTTCAAATTCCCAATACATGCCCCCTAGCTCTTCTGTAGCACTGACCCATAAAAAAATCTTGTGATGTAGTTTATTGGCTAGAAGCTTTAGATCAGTTAAATGGGCACAGGCAAAATTTCTGTTATTACTATACTCTGCCCAGTCTACTGAGGAATACTTTCTCAAGAATACTCTTTTCTGTTCCAGGATCTGTCCATTTCAGCAAACATTTGTAGTCCGGTGGACTAAAGCCTTACCAGAGCTAATAAATCCAGCAAGAAATTTGCCTATCATCCACTACCAAAGAATTATTGATCTGTGAAAACCAGCACCTTCTTCATATCTAAGACATATAACTCGAAGGACCAGAATGACTGAATTTTTTTTTAAGGTGATTTATTTTCTTTCATCCTGTTGCCTTTGGAAAAGGAGACAAAATTTGAAGCAAGAATACATTGTCAAGTGTATACTTCATTTCCTCTAGTACCAACAAGTTTTCTGCAGGAGTAGTGCTGTCCAGTCAGATATAGATGTCTAAATTAGGATTTAGCATGCAAAAAACTTCAGATTTACGGCTTGAACTCCTTCTAAGGTACACTACAGGGATTAGAACTGTGTTTTTGGAGTCTTTCTATTTTTGAGTCTTATCTGAATATTTCTGTGTTTTGTAGTAAAAAAAAATCTTTTAAAACGTGTAGGTCCTTTATTAGCAAAACACTTTGATTGGCAGTGCATTGTTTGTTCTAAACAATGCCACAGTTTAATGATCTTTATATGATTGCAAAAGCTTGTATTTTACAGCTGGGCTATAGGGTGGAAACCGAGGGTAAATTTTTTTGTTTGAGTCAGATTTCTTCACTGGAATGAAGCCATTTTGCCCCATCTGAGAAGAAAATATCTTCATCAAATTGAAATAATGAAATATTTCAGTGGTGAACTGTCTCCTTTGTTGATGGATTTCCAGCTCTGTTACTAACCACAGCATTTTGTACAACTCATACATTTTTGTACATGTCATTAGCCTTAATGGGAAGGGGCAAAAAGACTGAACTGACATCAGATAAACATTTCAAATTGACTAAAAGACAAACAGTTTGAACAAGGCAGCAGACAATTCAAACAGCATTATTAGAGAGAGAAGCGCTTTCAGACAGTGTTGCAAGTTGCCATCTGGTTTCTAAATGAGCAAAAGTCTGGAGGCACCAGTTTAATCATTCCAGGATATCACTTCTCTCCATCAGTGCTGGACTCCACCACAGCTCGGCACATCCTTAACTGTCTGTGCAGAGATTTCTTGTCTCAACCATCAACGCGTGCTCTGCTGCCGATCTCAAGATCTAAAGCATCGTCTAATTAAAGGCTGCTACTGGAACGCTCCAGCGAGTTACCGCAGGGGGCTTTGCAGCAAAAGTCATTGTCACAAGCACACTTTGCACACTGAAATCACAAACAACATGCGTAACACACATGCGCTATCCAATGAAGTACATTTATTGTTTTGTGAGTGGCATACACTGCCTACTGCCACATACAGCACACATTAAAACACTGTATGTGCCTGCACTGTATACTGTAAGGCTTGCACTGCACACCAAGAAAAGTGAGCTACACACTTTGTGCATAATAGTTTACAGAAACATATGGCACATATATCTGGACACATATATCACACTGTAAAACAGATGGAATATAATTATAAAACTAAATTATACATTTACTACGTACTGAAATGTTCTGACAGCAGGACCACAACCAGAAAACCCTGTTCACTAGGAATTCTGTAATTATATACTTTTTCCTTGTGAATTGGAATAAAATGGCAAATTTTGTATTTTTCCATAATACATTTTTATAATTGTTTTACTTCAAGATAATTTTTAAAATAAAATATAAAAATTTTACTTTTGTTTCACTTTGAAACAGGTTATACAATATAAAATAAAATAAGCTTAAACTCACTTCAGAATGAAGCATTGAAATGTTCTGCTCCCCAAAACTTCAAATGTCCCTCTTTAACATTATCTAAATATTTCATTTTGGATGGACTTTTTGCACAAATAAATCATATTTGATATATACACCTTATTACATACAGACCCCTTTCTGTAGAAAGTTCAGTGAAGCAACATTTGTTCATGAAAAAATGTTCACGGGAAAAATATTGTTAACCTTCTCAGCAGTCATAGAACATTACGAAAAAGTAATTTTCAGTCCATGATCTTACCTGCCTATCTCATAAAAACCATTTTTGGTAGAATAAGGTACCAATCCCTTATGTAAAGTATGACATTTTGTAATCGTGTGCATGTGTGTGTGCATAAAGAAGAGAAGGAAGATTTCTCATGCCTAAATTTAATGGGTTCATTTACCTTGTAAAGTACTCCAAGAAAAAATAATGAATATTATCATGATTTTCCTAAATGAGAATTCCTGTTTAATTCCTGTTCTCTCTGCACTACTTTAAGACATCACAAAGTGCTGATTGTTATTTAAAAATTGAATCTAATACCCAATCTTCTAGGTGGACATATAGAAATAGGATTAAATAGATCACAGACCTATAAATCTTGGTTTAACTAGGATTTTCTGCAAGTGGGCTAAAAAGAAACTCTAAAAGAAGATTAATGATTGTAGCAAGCTGCAGAAATAGAGCTTAATACAAGATGAAAGATGATTGATCTGTTATTCTCAGCTCTTTTTCCTGTTAATGACAATATCTATATTTAAATGACGTTTGTCAACTTTAAACATATTTGTCATTCTCGACTCAATCCCTTTTATTTGATGCAATCATATCTTAACATGGCAAAAAACCCACATGCCTCCAAAACAAAAATGATCAAGTTTTTATTGGGTTTACTTTCCTCCTTTTTTGCCTCCATAACAATATGGGATTTCTCTCATGGGAATATTTCTTTATTCTCAAGGTCTTTGAGCACACAAGGTGCCAAGGAGAGCCTCATGCACAGCACTGCTGCTCCTCACTGTGCTGCATCACAAGAACCTACCCAAAACCCAGGATTCAGTATAGGACAATACTGCAGTATCTCAGTGGAACCTTCTTAAAGCACCTTGCTGAGCAATGGACTAAAACTACTTTGCTCTAGGAGAGCTCAGACAATCAAAGGGAAGTGAATGGCTCACTCCTAGTCTTGGACTTCTCATTTAGGGGGCAACTATAACAAATTGTCATCCAAAAAGTAATTTTTTCAGTAAAGGTAGGGCCATATGAGCATTAACCCTTCAGGAAGATAGCTCAGTGACTTCACCTATGGCTACAAAGGAGATTCCAGGTCAAGGAAAATAATTTTGTTTCAGTTATGTCCAGCACCTCAGAGAAACTTAGCACCTGTCAGATGAGCTACTCTACCAGCAACAGCAAAGCAATGATTACAAATCAAGGCAAACTGCTTTCAAGCTGAGCATGCAGGGCCTTGAGAGTACAAAGATCACAATGAGCAGAACTTCAGTGAAGTGCAAATTACATCTTTTGCAGTCTCTCCTTTCCCTCACAGACCTCCTGAGTTTCTTCTGCTTGTCCAACAGCACCTCATGGGGTCTTGTGGCACGGTGGGACCACAGGTGATTCCTGACTAGATCAATACCTTCCTAGCCCTTCACTAGAGGACACACTACTGAGAGCAGCTCACTGTCACAGTGCTTCTCAAGCTACTTGACCACACATCAGATACAGCTAGTCAATGAATTCCATCCTCCTCTGCCTGGCAAAGGAAGAGACACTGTGGTGCTGCATTGTGAACACAGGGCTCAAGTTGTGAAAGAGCAAGAGGCAGGCGGCAACTGCATGCACAGTCAGATTTAACAAAAACTCGGTCTATGGGAATCAGATCTCAAAGGTTCCCAGGACACTGAGTGTTCATTGGAGACTCACTGTGCAGGTTGGCATGCTGCCCACAGCAAATCCCAAATGTCTAGCCAGCATCTGCACAGTGCGTGGCACCAGGTTGGCCTGGGACTGCTCAGTTCTGGGAGCCTGAACCCATCTAGATAGGGTCACACATAGGTACAAGCAGGGATTTCCAGGGCCACGGGCAGCTCACACCTTAAGCTCACTCCTGTTGTGTCAATCCACCTCCACACTAAGCACATGAGACTCGCCAGTGTAATGGAGTATATTTTTAATATATAGCTCATTTCTGTGATTATTTTGTTATATGAGGTACTGACCATTACTTGGCAAGTGTTCACAAATCAAGTGAATTGCAAAAATGGTCCTGAGAATTGGTTATACAAAAATACAACTCCAGCTGTTCTTTTTATACACTTTTAATCCCCAGACAATACCTAGAAACCAGGACACTAGTTTGGACCGGAGGTGGCCTGGAAGTATGAATTTGCACCTGCAATATTTTAGGCAATCTTTTTGAAAAGTAGGTGTGGAAATTTCATTTGCCAAGTAGCTATTCACCCATATGTGCATCTGTGAAATTTAATGGCTAATTTTCAGAAATACAAATGGCAGCTATAAACTCCAACAGTAAACCAATGATCTTCTCTTGTTGCTTTTGAAAATCTTCCTCAAAGTGAACTTTTAAAAAACAAAGCCTTTAAATCTGCCTAATCACATACACAAAAGGGAATCTATACGCTGCAAAATAACCTGACATGAGGAACTTGGCAGTTGTAGCTGACTGGATCTGATGGGAATGACACTTCCTGAATCCTTTAAAAGCAACAACCCATTGAGCATCTCTTTTAGTTGTTGAGAATCACTGTACACTCTACATTACTTCACTGGCCACTTTATTTGGTCTAATATCTGTGTGTGGTATTTTAGTTAGTGCTTCATGTATCTCATTTATAAGTATGTCCTTGTGTTTCACTTTACCCACCAGGTAGGTCTGCAGCTAGTAAAAACCTTTGTTTTTTGGAAACCTTTTGATGAAAACAAACGTTGATATAAGCTTAAGATGTGAAAGAGGTACAGGTATCAGGTACTATTTATGACCTTTACATAAGATGCCTGATAGAGATGACTACTTTTGGAGCTTAATACTGAACTGTTTCATGGAGACAGGATTTTTAATCCAGTGTTTTTAAAACACCATTGAACTACTCAAGAACTGAGGTCTGCTGAGGTCCCTCAGCAAACTATTTGGACATCTCAATAGTTTATGTCCACCTGCACTGTATAGAGATTATGCTCTGTAGAAATTTGTCCTTTCAGGAACTCACTCAAGACTACCATAGGATTGTAATGCTGCCATAAATACTCAGCAGCCCAAAGTTACTATCCTGACTTTCCAAATGGTCCATATCATGGGGTACAATACACATTAGTAGCATTTGCTGGAAGTAAGCAGTATCAGTATAGAAATTAATGACTATTACGCCACCATCCTACTCTAGCACTTAATACTACATAGTTCAGGAATTCAAAATACATGAAATTATCAGTATGATTTGGAAATTGTCATTCATATTGAGATTACACTACTGTAATTAGATAGCTTTATTCTGTCCGCTATGATGTACAAGCAGTATATAACACAAAACCATTTAAAATATGGTTTAAGTAGCCGCTGATGTCACACTAAAAGCATTTAAAACATTCTGTAGTTATCAGAACCCTGAGCAAAATCTAGACAAAATGAATCACATCATAAGATTTGCCAAATTTTTTAATAATATCAGTGGCTGATATTTTTAAATCAGTTGCTCTGATTCATCAAGTCTCATGGACTACACTGAGAAACAATCTCACTAAGACCATCCCAGCCTCTCTCTGTGCAGACATTCCTGCAGTAAAGCTCTGTCCCAAAGTCTAATGCAAAGGGAAAACATTGGTTTCAATGGTTTGGGGAAATTTTGGCCAACACCGCACTGAAATTCTGTGAGTGCTCATTTTTTCCAAGCACATAGCCTTATCTCTGAATTCAGAAGAAAGTGGAAAATGTTGTTTTCATTTGTAGAAGCAAGCCTCTGCTGCTATTACTCTCCAATGGAATGTTCTTTCATTGAATAATGCGTCGGCCTTAATGGAAAATATTATAAGATCTGTTGGCAAAGACATCTACAAAGTCACTCCCAGTTAAAATAACTCTGATCAACAGTTGTCATAACGTTCCCCTCACGTAATCTCTCTGAATGCACACAAATACTGTCAAGGTTTATATTCCTGGCTGTGTGTATTTACCTTCCAGGTGACCCTAATGCTTTGTGAGGATATAGGCTCAAGCTGAACATCCTGAGGTGGGCCATCAGGGGCTGGAAAGACAGAAGAAACGGGCATCAAAACAGGCCATCACAGGACACAAAATTCAGCACTTCATATGATATTTCAACATCTTAACACACCAGCATAACATAACGATTTGTATTGATTTAATGTCATATGAAAAATTGAAGATAGAACTTTGATCAAACAAAACCAGAGCCTAGAATCTTCCTTATCCGATCGTCATCTCCGACCAACAGTGAAATACAACACATGCCAAAATTTAGCATTCTGGCAAACAAAATAAGAGTGAATTATGGCAACTTTTCTTATTTACTGATATCCTCATATTACTGTTTCCCTTTTGTAAATATGCAAGATGTATTTTAAGCAGTCAGAACCCTGCAGGTAGCAGCAAGAAAGGCAGCAGAACCCTTTTAAAAGTAGGCAACACAGGAGCTCATCAGCTAGCCTTCAGGATGGCACACAGAGCTTCCAGTGAACTCCCCTTTGTTCACTGCAGACTGAGCGCATTTAGTCAAATACTAAACACCTTACATGTAAAAAACTGCATACTTAACAGTCCCTCTCCCCTGCCCACCATGTACGCATCCCAGCCTGGAAATAGACAAAAAATAACTGGAAATAGCATGCTACAGCTCCTGGGGAGTAAAGAGGAGTTTCATTTACTGCTTATGTACCGCCAAGCGTGTGCATGATGCTTTAAAGGGAAATAAAAAAAGAAGGCCCTGAGCCTAGAGGAACTTACTTGTCAGCTGGACAGCTAGCTACAAAGCAGATCGAGAATAGGTTAGAACCGAATGGAGGGTTGTAAAGTAAATTACTTTCTAAGCAACGTAAATCATTGTAAAGGAAAAATCTGAACAAAGAAATAGAGTAATCTTCAGCTGTTGTAGGGAGTTCTCTAGATGCAGAATATGGCCTTGGTAAAAGGTATTACATTAAATTTAATAGCATAACAAAGGAAGTAAAGTAACAAAAAAGTGAGATGGGGCTTTTAGAGGTGGAGTAGCAGTAAATGACAGCTGCAGTGAAAGGAACCAGAACATTTTGCTTACACTGACGAAAGCAAGAGAGATCCAGAATACAGCCTATAATATGTTTAAGTTATTAAATATGCCCTATTCTGTGCCATTCTTGACTGTCACTCACAGGGGAACCCATTTTCAAAGGTTGAAAGAACTTAATTTTCATTTTCCCTGCAGCAATGTACAGGAAAGAGAAAAGAGAAAGACTAGTGGCAAAAACGCGCTCTCCATGAATTTTCTGATTCCCATCCTTCATTCTGTATCCTTATTTACAAATATGAATGTCATTTCTCCAGGTACATTATTATGTAGTGGAATTTGAGCAAAGCATTTTATCCTTAAAATTAGTTTTTAAATATGGTTCTTAGAACCTTGGCTTTTCATTGAAAGATCCAAAAAGCTTTTATAGACCTGTGTGGTTAACCATGCCTAGAGTACTACGAATGTTATTGCTGTTATCCCTGTTGTACTGGCAAATGAACTGATGAATAGATGGGATAAATAAGTTATTTATTTTACATACTTAATATCATAGAGAGTTTATGACAAAGATATAAAGCAAATCCAGATATCCCAGCTTCCCCTGTTGATTTTAATATTAAACAACAGCTATAACGCTTTTGTTTTCCTGACAAGCATTGATGCACCTGTATACTTACAGTCTATTTGCCAACATGGGAACTAATCGGGGCTGTATGGAAGTAAAGAGGGAATCTGCAAGAGCTCTGAAATCAGTCCTAGCTGTATGAAAATACAAAACTACATGCTTGACTATCTTTTTGCCATAGGGACCATTTACAGTCTCCTTTCTGATAGTTAGTGCTGGCCAACTCAGGTCACAGTAACTTGTGATATGTAATCTGAGCCTTTGCCAATGGCATGGTTTGGGTTGTTCAGTTTTTACATTGCCTTTCCTGGACCTTTATTTTGCTCTCTTCTCATCACCTTCTTCCTCATTCTCTGCACCCCATAGTGCTTCCCATTTCTTATTGTAAAAGCAACAAAAACAGTAAACAACCAAAAAAAGAAACTCCTGTATATTGGTCACCACCTGAAAGCAAAATCCAGGGAGCAAATGTCATGTACTTTGCCTAAACCTGACCTTCCCTCTTCCAATTAATTGTTCCCTAAGTAAATCAGTGACTTTTGAATGCAGTTCCACATTGCTGACCTTTCTCTCCTAATAGACAGCTCCTTAAAAGATAGCAATGAAAGGATCAATTATTCTGAAACTAGGTTACAAAGAACTGAATAAAATGTGACATTAAGGTTCCACCCTGTTAATAGGGAAGCTGGTTTTTATTTCAGGGTCAGCTGCTGATCCTGACAACTTAATTATCAGTCAGGATAAAGTCAAAGCAAGGAATATTCCAAACATGGGTGAATAAGAGAGTTTGAGTGAATAGATCCAAGACCCATCCCACTACTTTGTTGATTATGGACAAGGAATAATGGGCACGTTGGAGATACAGACGATTCAGTCTGGGAGAATGGATAATTCGTTTACTGTAGTGATTTCATATTTTCGTTGAACAAATGAGGAGAAAAATTGTGATCAAATGACAAGTATTATGCAAACAAACTATTCACCCTTAATAAAGCTGTTCATTGAAGGCTCATAAAAAAATGTGAATTCTCTTCATTCCCTCCCTCCCACTGGGATGAAAAAGCACACCTGGTGAAAAAAGAAATGCAGCTCATGTTGTCTCCCCTTTGCTCTGCTTTGTACTGTGAGATCTTGTGTCCTATTCTTATTCAAAAGTTCCTTGGAAAAAAAACACATGTTCTCTTGACAGGCGGTAAATTTTCACTGTGGTAATTTCCCCCACAGTGAAAATGAATGGGAATTACACAGTTGTATTCATATGAAGTGGACTGAAAATTCAAGTGTTTAAAGTCTAGGCGAAGATGGATCTTCAAAAAAAGTACGGTTTTCACTGCCAGGACACTGTCACCCAGATACTTGCATTATGCTTTTCCTCTCAAAAATCACAAAATCACAGAATGGTTTAGGTTGGAAGGGACCTCGGGAGATCATCTAGTCCAACCTCCCTGCTCAGACAGGGTCATCTACAGTAGGTTGCCTAGGACCCTGTCCAAACGGCTTCTGAATATCTCCAGCGAAAGAGACTCCACAGCCTCCCTAGGCAACCTCTTCCAGTGCTCTGTCACCCTCACAGGAAAGAAATTTTTTCCTCATGTTCAGATGGAACTTCCCGTGGTTCAGTTTGTGCCCGTTGCCTCTTGTCCTGTCACTGGGCACCACGGAGAAGAGACTGGCCCCATCCTCTCGACACTTCCCCTTCAGATACTTGTACACATAGATGAGATCGCCTCTCAGTCTAGTCTTCTCCAGGCTGAACAGGACTAGCTCCCTCAGCCTTTCTTCGCAGAAGAGATGCTCCAGTCCCCTCATCATCTTTGTAGCCTTCCACTGGACTCTCTCCAGTAGCGCCATGTCT